CTGGAAATGGAACAAGGCTTTCTCATACACCCTAGAAGCCATGAACACATTTTAAAATATAACCAATAATGACTTTTAAAAATTAGAAAAGATAGGAACGTTAATGAGATGACCCATGATCTCACTAACACATTACCATTTTATTCCCTTCCAGTTTTCTAAGCACTATTTTTAAATGTGATTGTGATTAGGCTATATTCGATATCCTTTTTTAAATTATGTTTTGAGCATCTTTCCTCTATCTCTGCATATGCATATTTAATAAGTATCAGAAACGCATCCTGTCCAATACAGAACTTGTGCTTTTCTACCCCCAAAGGAATCTTTTCTTAGTTTTTATTACAAAAACATGAAAAGCATCCATGCGGTTGCTCCAGCCAAATGCCCAGGAATCCTCCTGACTTCTCTTTCCCTCACCACTCCCGCCAGCCAATTCAACAGTTCTGTTTCATCTTGAAAACACATCCCAGGCGGGCCTGGGTGGCTCAGTTGGTTAAGCGTCTGCTTTCGGCTCAGGGATCCAGCCCTGAGTTGGGCTCCCTGCTCGGCCAGGAGCCTGCTTCTCCCCCTCCCTCTGCTGCTCCTCGCCCTGCTTGTGCTCTCTTCGCTGTCAAATTAAAAAAAAAAAAAGAAAAAGAAAAAGAAAAAAAACCCCAACCACAACGTATCCCAAACCACCCACTCCTGTCCTTCTCCTCGGCTTGTCGAGCTACCCTGCTCGCTCGTTTGGGCTTCTGGAGAGGTTCCATCCTAGCACCACCCTGTTGGGGAACGTGATTAAAGAGACCTGACCGCTGACTGACAGGGCAGCCGGGCCTGGACACGTGGAGGCTCCCCCCTCTCTCCCCTTCTCCCTGGCCTCAGAGTGTGGGCTCCGCTTGTCTTCCGGCTCCCCCGGGCTGCTCCAAGGACACAGCCTTGAGATGGTGCTGGGAGGTTGAAAACACCTGCAGGGTACACGGGACTGAGCCCGGTTAGGGCCTTTTACAGACAAGATTTGGAGGGCAGTGCGGGGATCTCTGCCTTGCTGTTGCCCAAGACAAGACTCCTATGCAAGTGCCCTTTGCTGTTATTAAAGTTACCACCTACCCACCTGGAGAAGCCAGCTTCTTTTCGCTCTCTCCCCGCCTGATGGGGGGCCATTTCAGATCATACCTGAAAGCTCCTGAGAAGGTTCTTTTCCAGCAGAACCATCGTTTCAAAAACATAGAAGAGGCTGCCACCCACATGCGTTTCTTTGGGGCTACACCATATTCTTTTTTTTAAATCAGAAAATAAGGTGGGCAGAGGATCTGGAGGGGTACCCGCCGACTATGCCCTGTACGGTCACCTGCGGCCACCCTCAAACCCCCTACCGCAGCATCCTCCAGACCTGAGTTCAAGGCTCTCCAAACACCACCTGCCCCTACAGCTCTGCCAACCCCAGATGGTGTCCCCCTCACCTGCCCAGCCCAGCTCTGCCAGGGTTTGGCCACACCCAGACCTAGACCCACAAGGTGTTGGCGGGAGAGCAGCCCACAGCTCCCAGGTACACCCCGGCTTCCCAGGCAGTCACCAAGGAGAGGTCTCCCGCTAGAGCCAGCAGCTTTCCCCACCGAACCAAATGCCTTCCCAGCACAACCTGGGGCCGAGGGACAATCCGGCCCCTACTCCTGGAAGCCCAGGGGGACTAATGGTACCAGGCTCTAGCCAGTCCTCAGCCTCTCGGGCTCCCCATCCTGGACACGGCGCTCCAGAAAGATCCAGTGCACAAGAGGCGCAGAAAAAAAGAAACAAGCCAGTGCCACCAACCCGCCGCACACACTCATTCACATCGAACAAAACGCAGGCACTCACTTGCTTCCTCATGGCCAGCCATTCCTCAGGCAGCTGTGAGGTCCCTCAAAGTCCCAGGAGACCCACACTGCTGGTTTCGAGAGCCTTGCCCTGAAGACCAGCCTCAACGCGGGGCTCTCACCCCTCACCCGAGCCCCGCCCTCAGGAAGCAGTCCCTCTTTGGAGCGCCGTGGGGGGGTTCCTGGTGCTGGGCTCCTCTGAGGGCAGATGGGGTGCAGATGGAGCCCCCCCGCGCGGTGCACTCGCGGCTTGGGGGGGGGGCAGGCGGGATTTACTAAGCGGGTTGACGCTGAGTAGCAGGTGCTGTGTTTATAGGGACCTTGATTCTCCAATTCACAATTTCTTGCACCGTCGTCTCACGCCGGGTCGGCTTCACTCATTTACATTCGCTGCCTGACTCCGACAGGTGTGATAGTTTGTGACCCTTGTCTCGCTGAGTTCGTGGCAATCAAAGACCTTGTAAGTCGAACGAACCCTGCCTCGACCTCTCCTGGGACTCCACTTCCGTGGGGCTTGGCCCGCAGTTCAGGCACCGGGCACTTTTCACAGAATTGAAATGGGATGGTAGAAGAGAATGGCAATTGTTATGCACGAACAGCTCCTGATTCCTGAGTTTGTCATCATTACTTGATCCCAGTTGCTCGCCGTTTACGCTAGCGACCAGGAGGAAATGGGACACATGACAGGTGGTTTGGGGAAGGGAAGTTGTTCTGAGATGTAGGGGTCAGACGGGATGCACAGAGGAGGGCATCGCTGTGCCACCAGCACGTGCAGGAGGTGGGAGACAGGAATCAAGGGTGGAAGCAAAGAAGGGAACCTGACAGGAGCGCCTTCTGTCGCTCTCGGCAACGTCCATTTTCCTCGGTTTCCTCGGTGCCCTCCATCTTCTCAACTATGCCTGTTTTTGGCATTGAACTGATAGTTTTCTCAAAAACAAACAAACAAACAAAAAACGGTGCCTTCAGCTCCGCGTTTTGAATGAAAATGTGCAGGAATGCCTGTGTGGACCATGAAGAAATAAAGGAGCCCCCAACACACCTAGTTGCCCAGAATAACGTATGCATCAATCAGGGTCTGTTTAAAAATATATGCATACTGGGCGCCTGGGTGGCTCAGTCGTTAGGCGTCTGCCTTCGGCTCGGGTCATGATCCCAGGGTCCTGGGATCGAGCCCCACATCGGGCTCCCTGCTCGGCGGGAAGCCTGCTTCTCCCTCTCCCACTCCCCCTGCTTGTGTTCCCTCTCTCGCTGTCTCTCTCTGTCAAATAAATAAATAAATAAAATCTTTAAAAAAAAATATATATATATATGCATACTATTTTCTCCCAAGTCATGAAACACATGTTATTCTAGACTCTGAAGTCTCACAGAGAGGGTAGAGATCCAGTGTAAAGCTTAAATTGTCCTCTCAACATCCCGAGGTTGAGCAACAGCCACTGCCGACTGCCCAAGTGTTCAGTCCACTCCTGGACCTTGTCTCTGATTTTGACGAGCATGAATTTGTGCGTGTGATAATAGTAAATGCTCCCAACGACCACCACTGTAAATTACGTACCGCTTCCTTCCCCTCCACTATCACTTTCCAAAGGTAGTACTGGCCTAACTGAAAGGAAAAAAATGTGTGAGACCACACCAGACTCCCGAGGAGGAGTCTCCAGGGGCCTTCTGTCACCCTAGAATGAAACCCAAACTCCTTATGAGTGCCCAGTGGTCCATTGACAGACCGCCCAATGGCCCTACAGCCTCCCTGCATAGGCTGTTCCACGGTCACCTTCATGCACACCCTCTGGTTCAGCGGTTCTCGACCTCAGCACCGGTAACATTTTGGTCCCCATAGATCTTTGTTATGGAGGCTGCTCTGTGCACTGTAGGATGTTTAACGCCATCTCTGGCCCTACCCACGAGCTTCCCGCAGTGCCCTCCCGTACCGTGGCAACACAAATGTCTCCAGACACTGCCAGATATCACCCGGGTCGGGGGCAAAATCCGCCCTGGTGAGAATCTCCAGTCCCATCCCACTGAACAAGCCATGCATCTCCCCACTTAGGCCCCTCCTTACAGCTCCGGCCCCCCTCACACTCTTCCTTATTCTCCTGTCTGCCTCCTTCTCCATTCTGACCTCGGTGTAGATGTTCACCTCCGCAGAACGGTCGTCTTGAACTGAGGTGGGCCCTTCAATGTCACTGCATTTGAATTGCCTCATAGCCTTTATCAATACATGAAACGATCGAGTTTATCTGTTCACCATTCCCTCGTCGGATTGTAGTTCCAGGAGAGTAGAAGCTCGTCTGTCTTCGTGAAGTATCCTGGACGTGAGCGACAGTACCAGACAGACAGCAGACATGTGACAACTGCCACACGGATACATAAGTGACTCCCTTCTCCATCACTGGGGGCTCTTTGAAGGCCAAGGAGCGGGGGCATGAGGGGAATCACAAAATGCTTGAGATAATTCCAGGCCATGATTATTTGAGAAAGTCTCAGGGGATTTTGTTCTGACAGTATCCTGTAGCACCCCTCCCCCCCCCCAGCTTTCTTAGTCTGGTGAACGTGGTGCTGGGGGCCCCAAGGGAGTGACCCCACGGATCCAGTCTTCTTACCAGGTGGGTCCCACACGTCCTTCCAGGCTCTGACAGGTCATGCAGAAGTGCAGTGGGTCAAGAACAGCCACATCTTGGAGAGGTTATTCACTTGAAGGGAGCACAGAATGTTGTGTCTGGAATAGGAAGCTAAGCCAGGACAGGGAAGGGGCCCTGCTGGGAGCCAAGGTGTGAGAGGGTGGGGGTGACATCGTAGGAGGCCCAGGTGACCCTCCCTCCCAAAGCCGCATGGCACCCAACCCCATCCTCCTGACCACCCTTGGTCACACACACTCCTCGTTCACATCTCCCAGGATGCGTTTCTGGGACCCTCCAGCCAACCTCTCCATTCTCTTCTCTTTGCCAAACACGCAGGGCCGCTTCCATCTCTTTCTGACCTCTCCAGAGCTGCTGATTCAGTGAATCGCTTTCTATCTCCATCTTCTTCTCTGCTCTTGGCAGGCCTTACAGAAAAAAAATCCTTTGCAAGATTAACATTGACCACAAAGGATATGCTTTTCTACCTCCTTTTTTTTTTTTTTTTACATCTCATTTTTCAATGTCAATTGGTTCAATTTGTTGCAACTACAATTCATTACAATTAAACATTAGAGGCAGGCGCGGTGGGGGGAGGAGGCCATATTGACAGAATGCATATGAAATATTGGTTTTCCCAACATAAAAATAAATCACTCTGTTATTTCCTATAGACATGCAACTGCTCAAAACAGCACCCTCCCTGGTGGCAAAATTGAGTATCGATTAGCATCTAACACATGCCCATTGAACTTGATTGAGCTGAGCGTCCAGGACTCCTTGTGGCTTTTTTCCCCTCAAGAGAGAAACCTAAGCAAGAGCCTGTGGTTCTCTCCCCAACGGCATCAGTGTGTGCAAGGCTGGGGTATCTGGTGTCTGGCCTCACAGGAATTTACCATTTCTGTGGCTCTGTGGTGAGGTCATGTTGAGGAGTGTTCTGATTTCAGCTGCTTTTCCACCTGGATAGATCTCAGTGACAATGCTCAAGAAGTGAACTGCAAAAAGAATTGGTGAATTACTGTTTGAGGACAAAATTCCAGAGTATCTTACAAATTTTACGAAGGCTATATTAAACTGTCACACACAGGGGCACCTGGGTGGCTCAGTCGTTAAGTGTCTGCCTTCAGCTCAGGTCATGATCCCAGGGTCCTGGGATTGAGCCCCGCATCAGGCTCCTTGCTCAGCGGGAAGCCTGCTTCTCCCTCTCTCGCTCCCCCTGCTTGTGTTCCCTCTCTCGCTGTGTCCCTCTCTGTCAAATAAATAAATAAAATCTCTAAAAAAATTTTTTTAAACTGTCACACACACACACTGGATGCCCCGGCTACAACTCAGCTCCAAGAATTCTGAAATCTTGGTAGAAGATACTGGATTCTAAAAACTGCCGGGAGGCTTTTTGCCTCAAGTGGCTCAACCTGGTACGTCATTTTTGAAGCTGCCTCCACAACAAAATCTACTTCCAATACACAAATGTAAAGAACCGTTTTGTTCTAGGAAAGCCATGAAGTAAGCTGAACGCACACGTTTAGATGAAAGGCAGAGTCTTCTGTCTGGGATTATAAAGCCGTTCCCGCCTGCCCCAGCTACACATATCCCCGTGTATAATTCCCCGGGCTCATATACCCCGAGTATATGATGATAACTATTGACAGGGGTATCTCTTTCTATCAAGCAACTTGAGATACAGAAAAAAAATCCCTTAGCTGCTCCAGCCAATTAGGTGGGGTTTTGGTTGCTGACATGTGGAGCCTCCGAACCCCTAGAAACGCACTCAGAAACTGACAGCGGGGCTGGGGGTGAACTCTTGTCGTGGTTTCCCAGGGCTGCCATGACAAAGTACCACAAGCCAGGTGGCTCATCCTCTCCTAGCTCTGGAATCTAGAAATCAGAAGTCAGGTGTTGGCAGGGCCGTGTTCCCTCTGAAACTCGGGGGAGAGGACCTTTCCTCGCCTCTTCCAGCTCCCGGGGGCTGTCCATGATCCTTGGTGCTCCTTGACTTGCAGCTGCCATGCTCCAGTCTCTGCCCTTGTCACGGGGCCTTCTCCCTTGGGTGTCTGGGTGTCTGTGTCCAATTTCCCTCTTCTTATAAAGACACCAGCCATGTTGGATTGAGGTCTGCTCTAATCCGGAACAACCTCATCTTAAAGTAATTATATCAGCAAAGACCCTATTTCCAAGTAAGGTCACATTCTGAAGTACGGAGGGGTAGGACTCGAACATATGAATTTAGCGAGGAGCACAATTCAACCCAGAGCAGGGTCTTTTCCCAGGAACTCCCATGACAATACCCTGATTGCTCTCAGAAACAACCGGGAGGGGGGACCTCTGTGGGGAGCCAAGAGACTTAGCCATGGTAGGGCCCTCCTGGCACACTTGGACCAGGGATTCCTGTGTTGATCAGTTCCACGGTAGGGGCTCATCCTTGATGAGCCTGCACCATGAACTGACTACTGATTCTAGAACCTGCTCTGATTCATGTCAGTGTCCCCTGCGGTGATGCCTGGAGCCGTGGAGCCAGGGAGCCGGATGCCATTCCCTTAGACAACTCTGATGTGCACATGCCCTGAGATAGGGCACCAGCAGGCAGAAGGAGAGGAGGCCATGGCCCCACCCTGGGAGTTCTTTGTGTTCTTCAAGCCCACACAGCGTCAGCATTCCTACCCGGGTGGTGAGAGCCGTGGGCAGGGCACGTCCACGTTGGCGGGGCGTGAGGGGTGAGGGGCCTTTTCACTGGAGAGCCCACCTCCGAAGGGTGAGGTGGAGGGAAGGGCTTGATGAGGAAGATGTAGGGTTGGCTTTGTTCTGAGCCCCGTGCTGTGCATCTGCTGACACTCCACAAACCCAAGTACAGCACTGGGACAAGAGACAGGGGCTGGGGCCAAGGTGGGCATCTGGAGTTGGACTCAGTGGGTGAGGGGCTGGATCATGTGCTGGGCAGAGGAGGGAGCATGACGACGTGACAGTGGTTTAGGGTAGCCACTCTGGGAACCTGAAGGGTAATGACAACGCATCCTCAGCAGCGCTTTGGGGACACGGGCCCTGTGTTCTCGGAGCTGTTGGGGTACTTTGCCCGCTGTGCTTCTCACCGCCAGCCGCCCACCAGAGCTGCTGGGGAGGATCCAAAATCTGACAGAGTCGGATTTAACTGGCCTGGGGGTAGGACCCACACGAGTATTTTTTAAAGTACCCTGGGTGATTCTACTGTGCAGCCCGCGTGGACAATTGTAGTTACTGCAGGCCAAGAGAAGAAAATGGAGAGTTCCTTTATCAGCTCTGGGTCTGGGAAGGACTCCAGCACCAGCTTTCACAGGAGGCTGAAAACCAGAGCACTGGTTTTCCCCGAAGAGCACATTCTGACAGAGTCATTCACCCCTGGAGCCTCGTTCGGAGCAGGGAGAATGAGCCTGGCAGGGCTGCCCCATCCCAGAACCAGCCGGTCTGGAGGGCGAGGCCGCATCACTGGTAAAAAGACACTTCTCAGAATTTCCAGGTCTGTGAGGGAGGGTGGCAACGCTGACAAGGATGAGCCAGAAAGGAACACCAGCACCAGTGTGGCACCCACTGCGGTCACCAACAGGAAGACCGACGGGACCCCACGCAGGGCCCGGAAGGTGCAGAGGCATCCACAGAGGCATCCTTGGGGGTGACGTGGGGGTCAAAGGTAGGGGCTGGAAAGACAAGTGCAATGGGAGCCTCTCCCGGAGCTCTGCCCCTGTGGGTGGGTAACCCCTACAAAGAGAGAGTACCCCCCCATCCCACTCCTGCTCCGGAGCTAGGAGTGTGGGGCATCCAGCCCTCACTTCTAAATTGTAGGTCTGGTTCTTATATACAGAGCAAACTCATTAACCTCCCAGCTTCAGTGGGGTGGAAAAATACCAAGTCACCTCACAGGCTTTCCAAAGGTTATTTCACATTTCAGTGCCTCCAAGAAGCACTGAGGATCCTCATCACGGTTTCTTCACCCTCCCTGAATCTTCTCTCTCTGGTATTCACTTATACTAAATTTCAGTGCATTGCTGGCTTGAACCTGGAGACTGACACAGGAAAGCACTAGGGTTTGCATGTTAGTTTCTTTCACCGAGTTCTAAGTTGAAGGCATCTTATTGTAGAGGCGCCAATATTTATATAGTGCCCTGCAGTTTATGAATCACTTACATATTATCACCTTAGAGTTGTTTTCCTAGAAGTTAGTACAATAAGGTGTTACTGAGAAGAGATAAAATATTCTGAAAAATACACGTAGGACAATGAAAAGCTTGACAATGTACAGATTTTTTTTAATCATCTTAAGCTTAATGTCTCGGACTGTGTAACACTCTCAAGTTGTTTCAGAAGACTCACACCAGACAGAGACCTTGTCAGAGAATGCTTGCAGGAAACAGACACCGAGAGCTACTTCACCCCAATTTCCTCGTTTTGGAGAAGCCAAAGACAATGGGGGAGTTTCTTAGCGACCCAGGAAGCCATCCTTGGGTTCAATGTCAGTGGATGCCACAGGTGGGTTTACTGGCATTCTGATTCTCCTGGAGCCTTGAGAAAGCCACATTTTGGGAGTCACTGAGATCACCCATGTGGGCCTTGGTTCTCAGTCATTTTGCTGTCCCAACACGCCTGGGGGAATGGCTCTCCCACCAGGTACCATGGGGCTCCAAGAAAGGGTGATGATTCTAAGTGGCTGATCAAGGATCTTTGGAGGAAAAGAAGGGCACAAATGTAGTTGGAAAAAGCTCTATCCCTTGCCACACCAACACTCACCCAGCTGAGAATCACTCACGGAAACATCTGTCATCAGTACTTTCTGGGTTTGAGAACTTTGGGCGGTGGCATCTCTTGGGAGAAGAGGCCCCAGGGGAATGGAAGGCATGTTAAGGCAATGCCCTGCCACTCACCTTTCATCCACTCAGGACTCCCAGCCCCTCACCTCAAATCTCTCACTTGCTGTGTGACACACAGTCTCTTGGACAGCTCACGCTGAACTCCGCCATTGTCCGTCTGCAGAAACAAAGAGAAACAATGCCCAGTCAGGATGGGTACCCTCTCCACCCACCCCTGGAGGGATTTACCACAGATTTACTCCCCTTAGGAATTCCCATACAAAATGATAAATATCCTGTAATATAAAATAAAATTAAATAAAGCAAAATAAAATCAAAAGACAGACAATGCCAAGGGTTGATGAGATTTTGGAACAGTAAAAACTCTTATGTACTGTTAAGGGGAGGATTTCCCAATGAATGTTTAGAATCAGCTTGCCAATTAAATAAAAATCTTGGTATCTTAAATGAGATTACTTCAAATCTATAAACCAATTTCGAATAGGGGTCTCCTTCCCATGAACTTTGCAGATCCGTCCATTTGCTCAAGTCTCCTTTAATTTTTTTCAGTGATATGTTATAGTACTCACTGCAGAAGCCTTGAACATCCATTGTTAGATTTCTTCCCAAGTATCTGATGTTCTCTTAACGTAGTTGTAAAAGCCACCATTAAAAATATATATATTTTCTAGTTACTCCTGTGGGCACAGAGAAATACAACAGATCTGGGGTGTTTTGAATCCAGCAACTTGGTTAATGAGACAGTTCTTGCGCTTAATCTTCCAGGGCACTAATTCCAATCTCACAATGAGTACAATTTCTTTTGATTCATCTGCTGCATTTCAAAATTTTGAGACGCATGTTCGTTAAGCTCCGTGTGTGTGTGTGCGCACACACGTCTGTGCGCACACGTGTACAGGTGTGCTGTAGGTGCATGTCCTTAAGGGCACTTACTACTTCTTATTTGGTGCTCTTGGCCTCCTTGAGCCGAGCCATGTCCCTACAAAGTATTGTTGTGGCGTGGTTCTGCCTTCTATCCTGTCAGCTGCTGGGCTGCCTCATATGGAGCTACCATTCTCTGTGGACTTTCCTTAGTGCCAGGAATCACACACAGTGAAAGAAAAAAGGACTCTCTGTCCCCGTGGACCTAAGTGACAAGGGCCATTAGAGCCTTAGGGGCCCCAGAGGGACCCTCTCTGTCCTCCATACAATTCTATCTCAAGCACAGGGTTACCTCAATCCACCAGTCTGCCCCTCTTGGCCTTTTGGGGTCAGGGTGAGCCTGGACTATTTTTACCCAGAACACTCTGACAACACATGTGTAGGTTTTCTCCATACCAGTGATTTTTCCAACTCTCGGGACGCCACATGAGTGCCCTACGATTGAATTCAAGTCTGACGACCGACAACCTGGAGTTAGTGTCAGATTCTTCAGATCTGAGGGCTCAGTCTCAAGACTGCCCCACTTCAGACACCAGTCTCAAGTCCTAGGCCACCCATGCTTTGGACTGACCAGCTATGAATCAGGGGTTCCCACAGCCCCCTCCTCAGATTGAATAATTTGCTAGAACTGCTCACAGAACTCAGGGACACACTTCTGTTTACCAGGTTTATTATAAAGGATGAAACTCGGGAACAGCCAGGTGGAGGAGACGCACAGAGCAAGGTATGGGGGCTGGGGTGCAGAGCTCCCATGGCCTCTCTGGGCATGTTACCACCCCAGCACTTTGGTGTTCACCAATCTGGAAGCTCATCAAATCTCTCCCACCAAGAGTTTTTACAGAGATTAATCTCCAGCCCCTACTACCCTTCCGGGTGGCTGGTAGGCGGGGCTGGGAGTTCCAACCCTCTAACCACTAGGTTTTTCTGGTGATGGAGCCCCTCCTCCTCGGTCTTTCTAGGACCAAAAACATCCTTAGGCTATCCAGGAACTCCATGTTAAGTTACCTTATTAGCATAAACTCAGGTGAGACCACAAGAAGCTCTTTATGAAGGAGCTCTTTATAACAAAAGCCATCCCTGTCACTCAGGAAATTCCCAGGTTTTAGGAGCTCTGTGACAGGAACTGGAGACAAAGACCAAATATATTTCTTATACCACAGTGCCCCTGCCCAAGCATACGGTCACTTTTTTCTTCTTCAGGAGAGACTACAGTCCCCTCAACTTCTTCTTAAACTGTCCCCTTCTGGTTCTAGCTCTGCTCTCTGTGTCCAATTCCCAGTAGGTGACTCTGACTTTGGAGACCCCAGCAAAACTCACTCACACTTAGCCACCCGCAGGTCCCAGCAACACCTGCTCAGGTAGGCAAGCACCTTGGAACTGAGTGCGGGAGACAAGAGGGAGACCATGTTCAGGGCTGAGGTTCCCAGCCAGCTAGGTTTCTCTTGGCGAACTGGCCTATGGCTTATTTGTTGGGTATACAGTTAGGAGCATGGCAGGACAATCCACTGATATACAAGCTTTGTCATCCATCTAATATTTTTCCCCCTCCCTCCATTTCATGTAAGCAAGGCTCTAAGTGACCTCTCCTCAGGGAAGGTCTGAAGATAAATCTGCTTAATGTCATGGCTCTGTTTCTTCTGGGACCACCTGAGGAGATGCCTTTAGGGGCTTTAAGAAGTACAAGGAAAGAGGTTGATGGGGTCAAGACTAGCAAGACCCCAGGTCCCTGGTGAAGTGGCAATATTCAGAAAGGATGCCTGTGGAGGGTGCCAGGTTGCCCAGCCGACTCCCTGGACACTGGATTTGCCAGTGATGACAAAGAGTTTTGGGCCTTCAAGCAGAGCATGGCTGGTCAGCTTTTGACTCCGAGACACCATGCAAGCTTAGGCAACTCAGTAGCAAGCAGGAACAATGAAAGACAGAGGGATCTCCCAGGGGCTTAGGGTTGGCCAAAAACATCAGAAGCTCAGTTCTGGGCTGGAGAGTATGTGAGTGTGGTGGAGAGGGAGCTAATGGTAGTCAAGGCTGGGTTTCCTGCCAACTTGGCAGGATGGAAATTGCTATGGGTTGAATTGTGTCCCCTCGAAAAAAGATATTTTGAAGTCCTAACCTCTAGTATTACAGAATGTGACCTTATTTGGAAATGAAGTCTTTACAAAGTTGAGTTAAAAAAGTTAAGTCACAAGTCAAAATGAAGTCACTAGGGTGGGCCCCCTATGACTGTGTCCTTATAAGAAGGGAAATTTGGACACGGAAATAGGCACATGGGGAGAACACTATGAACTCCAGAACTGTGAGACATTTCTGTTGTATAAGCCACCCAGCCTGTGGCACTTCATTATGGCAGCCCTAGGAAACTAACACAGAGATTCAGAACTGGATTTAGGGAAAATTAAAAACATAGTATTTCCTACACACCAGTGAGTTGTGAACTGAGGTTCCCACTAGCTAGTGACAGGAGAGCTAATTTCCTGAAAGTCAGTGAGGTTTTATGGGAAAAGTTCCTGAAATTGAATAGTATCTTTCAGCTGTCCATTCAAGATTAGAAGGAGAGGAGGCTTCCTCTTCTCTGGAAAGCCCTCCCCCCTTCCTATAATCCTGACAAGAGCATGGTGAAGTGAATTCCATGTCACTGACAAGGAGCATGGCAGTCAGGGAGGGTGGAGGTCAAGAACATAACTTTTGATTCTTGGCCCCAGGGACATCCCTTCATTCTTTCTGAAAGAGAACTCTCGGGACATTCTTTCCTCTGTGGTCAAATCCTCCAGAATTTCTCTTTATTGCCAGTCTCCTGGCAAAGAAAAAACAGAGATAAAAATAAAGTTACCATGGCTATATTGAACAAAGAAGCCACTGTTATGAGGGAGGAATGAGAAAAGCTTTCCTGGGCCACTACACACGTGAAGATGACCGGAGGGTGCTGGGAGGCAGCTAGCTCAATAGGAGCCGATCAGATTCTGCGTTTGGTAAGGGAACTAATGCAGGCTCAGTGGCATAAATAAAGACATGGTTTGCATGGTCCGTATGTCACCAGAAACAACTATGCTTGGTGTTGGTCCGACCATCCTGTGAATACCATGTTCATGTCTAGGATCCAATTGTCTCGGGGTTCCACCATACTAGTGCTGTGGTGAGAGCACAGGCAGGAGGAGGTGGGTGCTGGGAGCCAAGGCATATGAGGAAGGTGCTGTTCTTGGCCTGGACAGGAGTCCAGGGTGGGAACTAGATATCCCCCCAAGAACACCAGAAGGCAGGCTGAGGTCTGACTTGGGAGGTTCTAGGTTCTAGAATGCAGCTGGGGAGGGAGTGAACATTTCATGCTGGTTCAAATGGAGCTGTCAAGCAAGGGACCCCAGAGTGGAAAAGAGCTGCCCCAGAAAGTATTGACACCAAAGATAGATGGTGGCAGCCTGTAGGGGAATAAGAGAGAATCCCTTCCTAAATTCTAGGTTCTCAATGCCTCTCACTGCACACATATTTTCTAGTAAAATTATACCTCATAATTTCATTTTTAGCATAGGGAACTCTGAGGTTGTGGTAAGTTTAAGAAAATCTTTCTTTTTCATGAACAATAACAAAAACAGTAAGAATAGAAGCAACTAGGGAAGTTGAGAAGAAACATGAAGGGTCTTACAATTTGTCACGAGGCCACTAGGGGGCAGAGGAAGAGCGCTAGTTGGAACCACTAAAAAACACTGCAAGCCCAGTCCTTTCTTCCCCACTGCAAAACGCTTGAGTAGAAAAGAAAAAGTACAATACAAACCCAAAATGGTTTGCTTTGCCATTATCAAGAATTTCCAGTGTTCTGAGGTAGCTTATATTTCATGTATAGAATGTTGAGTATCGAATGCAACTCTACCTTTAACTGAAATTCAAGTCAAAATTCAAACACACCTACAATGCAGGCTGTGCCTCTGACCTTGCAGTGAGAACAAACCAGCACGCGCGGTGTCAAGGTCAGCACTCTCAAAGGGTGCTCAGGCAGGCCGGGAAAATGAAGACCAGACAGCGGGCATTTAGGGTGGACACAGCTGCTTTCTTCGCTACTGCCATTGGATTTTGAAGGATTATAAATCCAAGATAAGCCCGAGGCAATCAGCCTCAGTACAGCCTTGTTTGGGTCTCAGAAAAGTCTGAAACTGTTACTACATGATGGATCTTTTCCACTGCAACCATTCCTGGCTCACCAAGCACCAAGAAAGCAGATAATCATGGATGGTCAACCAGCTGCCAGGA